GACACATTCCTGAATCCAGTCCACACTGTTTTGAGGTTTAAATAAATCTCTATTCCCAAGTATACCTCCATTTACTCCCTTAAGTTACCTCCTCATCCATCCCAAAAGACTACTGACTTCCCATTACTACTGTATATTACAGTAGTTTGTGAGGCCCCAAGCAATACCAATATCCTTTTTAAACCACACACTGGGTACATCTATACATGCACTTTACTGTGGAGTAGACTAATTAACTCCGCAGTAAAGAGGCATTGTCTACATGTGCACTGGTATTAGGGCACAGTAAATTAACTCTGCCATAAGACAGTACGGTCAGGGATAGTATTATATTAGTTTGGAGTTATTACTGTGGTGAAACACACATGTAAAGGTTGACCTGAGTGTAAATTGCACCTGATCAGCAAAGGAAGCAGAGGGTCAGACTCCTGCCTGCCACATGGTTCTGCACATTTGGCACTTTCAGGCCCTAGCCAGCTCCTCTGCTACCACCCAGAGTCTAGGGCTGACCCCCAAAGCCTGCTGCCAGCCTGGGCCTGTTCTGCCCCAGCTCCAAGTGCTGCTATTCTAGGCACATGTGTAGATGCTGTGCCCAGGAGCAGTGTACTCCAGCTCAAACAGCTCTGGAGTTTATCCCTTTGCATTAATTGCATGTGGATTATTCATAGTAAGAGATAGGTGTGCCTACATTTTAAAGAGACAGAAGATGATAGATACATGCTTGGGAATTATGCAATTTTGTGCATAAAAGCCATGACCATGCATAATTGCATAATTTAACTATGATGGGCTCTCTGCCTCCACCTCCTCAGGGCTTCTGGCACTCCAGGCGGGAGTCCCCTGATGTGAAGGCACAGAGCCATGTGATTAGACAGCTGGGTAAGTGGGGAAGGGAGCTCCTGCCTGCAGGAGGGGTGGGTGTGCATGGGGTTTGTGGGTGGGTTGGGGCTGTGTGCCATCAGGTTGGGCCAGCCGGCTCCATGCCTCCAAGTGGGGCTTCCAGCACTCCAGTGGGAAGCCACATGTGGAGGCAAGCAGAATCCTACCCGGTTCGATGGCACATGATTCTGTGCCTCATTGTGTGGCTTCCCACTAGAGTGCTGGAAGCGCCCCTCCAAGTGGAGAGCCAGCCAGGCCTGATGGGGCATGACTGGGAGCTGCACACCATGGGATTGGGAGGAAGCTGCAAAGGAGGCACGGAGTCATGTGCCATCGGGCCTGCTGCTGCCGAGCTGCTGGTGGTGAGAGCTGTGCACCACGGGGGGGGGATATGTGGTGGGGGTATCAGGGTATGGGTT